CTTCAGTTTTCCTTCCAGACCGAATGACTGTTTCATAAGGATTTCATGAATGCCTTATAGAAAGTACAGGGAAGGTTTCATAAGGAGTTTGTGTAGAAATTCCTGTAGAAAGTCTTGGGAATGTTTGCACTGAGCTGTGCTGAAGCCTGTGATGGGACATGGCACAAATCTGCCACTTCTAAACCAGTGCCTGCTCCAAACCCTTGGGCTGAGCATCACACTGTATGGGTTGGGCAGGAGGGATCTGCCTTGAGATCCCTGATTCCACACAGAATCAAAGCTGGGGATGCCTGTGAGCTTCAGCTGTGCTGAAGAAGAGCTCAGGAGAAGGAGTCACACTGCTATATCCACATCCTGGTGACACAGTGTCCGTGTCCTTGCCGGAAGCTCTGCCAGAGCAATCTGCTGGATACCTGCGTACAGGGAAGGTGTCATTAGACAGAAACCCTAAAAGTAGGCAAATACCAGGGTGCTCAGCAGGTTTTGTCCCTAACAGCTGCATCCATGCGTGGAGGAGTGTTTCTTTCCTCATTAAATCTTCCCAGAATCCACATTAAAGCTGTTGCACTGAGGTGTGAACTTGCCAGGGAAACGCTTGGCTCTGAAGAATTCCTGATGGATACAAGTTGGCCAGTGCCCTGTGGCATCTTTCAAGCGGAGCATCATATTCCCTGATAATGTAATGCCCAGAGAGGCTGTGGAGTCTTCCTCACTGCAGATATCCCAGAACCACCTGGACACAATCCTGAGCCATGTGCTCTGGGCTGACCCTGCTAAGCAGGGAGTGGAACCAGGTGCCCCACTGTGGTCCCTTCCAGCCTCACCTCTTCTGGGATTCTATGGGTGAGTGGACTGTGTCAGCTTGGCACCTTTTCTCCATCAGTGACCACAGAGGGATACCTAGGACAAAGCAGGAGAATGTGGCTGTTTGCCCAATGCACCCCAAGGCACCTTTTCCAGTGGGGATGCCTAGTTGGATGCTGTGCCAGGAAACCTGCCTGCTGTTCTGGGAGGAGCTGGATACCCTCAGCAAGGGCTTTTTAATGAACCTGAAACTATTATTGTCCAAAACTTTCCCCTTACATCTGTTTCTTTCCCCACACAGGGCTATGAATACAGCAGGAGTGGGAACCCCACCAGGGATTGCCTGGAGAAGGCTGTGGCAGCCCTTGATGGAGCCAAATACTGTAAGCAATTAATTGGTTCCTCAACCAAAGTGTCAGCACATGTCTGTGTGTCTGCATCTTTGTCTGTGTCATTGTCTGGGTGTGTGTCCTGCCTGGCTGCAGAGGACGTGTGGGGGAGCAAGGGCACAGGGCTGCCCCGTCCCTGAGAGTGTCCCAGGCCAGGCTGGATGGGGCTTGGAGCAACCTGGGATAGTGAAAGTTGTATCATGGCAGAGGTGGAATGAGATCTTTTAAGGTCCCTTCCAACTCAAACCATTCTATGATTCTATGGTAACAGCCACTGGATGTGGGCAAGAGCTGCTTCATCGTGTGAAAGAGTCCAATAGTTATCCTTCAGGATAGTCCAGCTCAATCCCTGGGCTCTCTGTTGTACTTCTTCACTGTGTTTGATACCTGAGCTAAGCTGGATCCATCCCTGTGCAGCAGCAATGAACGCAGTAGGGAGTGGGAGCCAGGCAGCCCCTGTTTCGTGTCTGTTTCCAGTCTGTTCCCAGTGTCCATGCTGGTTTCATGCTGTTTAAATCAAGCTGCTGCTTATACTGCCTCCACTTACTGAGTGAAAAGTGTGAGAATGACAGAACAGGTTCCTTTTAGAGGCAAATTGAGGAAGACAAAGGCAGGTCTGACCAGGTTGTATTACATTAAACACAGCTTGTCTGCCACTTACTCTTTTCTCTTCCAGGTTTAGCCTTTTCTTCTGGCTTAGGAGCTCTTCTGAACATTACTCACCTGCTAAAGACGGGGGACACGATTATCTGCATGGATGACGTCTATGGAGGTAAGTACAGCACTAGTGTGGCTTTGGCCTTCATATTGTGCAAAGGGTTAAATGTACCTGTTTGTACCTGAAATGTACCTGTAAATGTGCCTGACCTCTCTGAATTTTCCATGTAGGACCTAACTGCTCTTTGAAGCCACTTTGTGGAAACACAGATCACTCCTGTCTGGTTTGGGGGTTAGAAATTCAGGCACTGAAAGACTCTGTGGTGCAACATGAAGGTTTAAAAACACAGCTAACTAGTAATAGGCGACTGAGTGAGGGGAAAGAGCAACATCTCAGGTTTACAGAGCAGGACCCTCTGCAGCACTTTCCAGTGTCTCCCATTCGTTCCCTAGGTTTTGCCCTTTACCAACGAGCATTTTGTCTGGACTGTTCCAGAACTATTCCATCATCTCCCCCAATGCCCAACTGGAGCTGTTGTCCCCAGGAACCCTTCAGTGCTGCCACAGCCCACTCTGAGCTGTTGATCTTGCAGAGCTGTTTTCAATCTATTCTTCCAAACAACTCCCCAGTAGCAGAGTGCATCCACCTCTGCCAAAGTCCTTCAGAAGGTCCATGTGGCTCAGAAGTTCCCAGGAGGACAGTCTGGCAGGACATTTTGTGCCAGACAGTGTCCTCAGTGCATGACCCCCATGTCATTGATCCCCAGAGCTTGTTGTCTCCCTCTGTCACTCCAGGGCTTTGGCACAAACAGTTCCAACCTGCTGTGATGTCAAGGGAAGAGAGCCTTGACACAGATAGCTTTTCCCAAGACAAACCACAAGCAATCACCTTTCCTCTGCTGGAAGTGATGCCTGTTTGCCAGTCAGTTTTCTGTGCTAGTGTGCATCAAATACAAACACTCCCATTTGCTTTTAACATTGTACTTTTGTCCTACCAGATAATCTCCAAGGTGTAGCCATGCCAAGGGGAGGCAGCAGGAACCCCTGCTGATACTCTGCTCCTTTAGCTCACAGCCTTCCCACCACTATGTATTTAATCAGAGTCATTTAGTCAGAGCACATCATCAGTTCCTCAGTTCAGAAGGACTCAGAGGTGTATTTTTCAAGCAAAACGCATTCTCCTGCTCATTAAAGCCTCAACCTGAGGTGGTTTCTGCAGAGATGAAGTCCATTGTTCCTCCCCTGTTTTTTTTCCATACACTTTTGTTGTAAAGAAAGTGTTCCCTTAAAAAAAAACCTACCAAAAATCAGTCAGGTCTTGTCCTCAGCACACAGAATCCATCATGCCATCTTCATGCTTAGATGGCAAACTGCTGCCCTGCCTAGGTGAGTCCATGTGGGATAACCTTGGTGGAAAGACCTAATTAATTAATATTTAATCCAGGCAGCACTGCCAGGCAGTCCATGTGTCACACATGTATTGATCAGCTGTTTGCTGCTGGCTTCTTCTAATCTTCTCAGTGAAAGGCTTCAGGGACAGACAGGAAGGAAAGAATCCCTTTGAGTAGAGTGATAAACACAGTAGCTGGAGTCTTCCCCTTGGTTCTTCTTCTCTATTTAGTTTTCTGATCAAAAAACCCCTATTAATTTAAAATACTTCATTAATCACTCTGATTCCATATTCCCACTATTGCTTTTTCATGATAATCACTAATTATCATGAATTAATTAAAGCCACAACAATCTTTAAACTTTTTTAGACATAAAAATTTATTAATGTGCCATTTATGTTGTGCTGCATTAAACTGTGCCCTCCTGATTTTCCCTGGATGATCCAACAGCCTGGAGAGCAGTGAAGTCAAGGAAGTTGTGTCATTTTGTGCCTCTGATTTTTGGTTTGCTTTGGGGTTTTTTTTAAGGCACCAACAGGTACTTCAGGAAAATAGCTGCAGAACTGGGCATGAAGGTAGTTTTTGTTGACTGCACAAAACCAAAGTGCCTGGAGGCTGCAATTACACCAGAGACCAAGGTAGGGAGAGGGGAATGGATGTGGTTAAATGATGTTCTTCTTGCTCTTAGTGGATTTGGTGTGCGTGTCAGGCTGAGGGGCATTGGGGCACAGAAGGGTAAAAACACCATGGGGAGAGAGAGGAGGAGGGAAAAGGTAAGAAAGAGCACAGGAAACACTAAGCTTGGAGGAGGAGGAGGAGATGCTCCATGGCACTGGAGCATATAATACCCTGCTCTAGTGGAAGATAACTCAGCTAGGAAAGGCTTACAGACTTTTGGGTGTAAAGACTTTGTTGTGACTCTGTCAGGCCTTTTCCAGATGAGATGCACTTGGGTTTGCAAGAGCTTTGATGTGCTTCCCATATATCAGTTGTGTTGGTGGGGAGTATCACTTCTCCCAAAACTTACCTTGCTCCAGCAGGGACACTGTCCTCTTCCCACTCTGCAAACCCACATGGGAAGCTGACAATCAGCAAATTAACATCTAAAAGCACTTCTGGCTCACCCAAGCTCATCACCAGCTCTGTAAATCTCTGACCCTATGGTTTCTGATGTTGGATTCCTGCAGCTCGTTTGGATCGAGACACCCACCAACCCCACACTGAAGGTCATTGACATCAAGGCCTGTGCAGATGTGGTGCATAAGCACAAAGATGTTCTTCTGGCAGTAGACAACAGCTTCATGTCTGCATATTTCCAGGTCTGTTTACCATTATTCCTTTGTTTCAGTGTGTTTGAAGATGCATTTTGAAAGGGAAGCACCACCAGGGAGCTGTAGTTCTGATCTCTGGGTTGTAAAATCATCTCCTCTGGTTCTAACTACAGCCCAGTTTTTACTGATAGAAGTCATAACAGGCTGTTTGAAAGTGTCCCAACTTTGGCTTTTTTTATGGCAATTCTTCTGTAAATGCTATTTATGAGCTGTTCTGAGCCGCCAAAGGTAAAATCTGATAGGTAATGGAAGAAGCTAAAACAAGCAAACTGTTCAGTCTTCCTTTGAGACCTTCAAGTCACCTTTTTCTTCAGTATTTTAGTGAATCTGTGACTTGGAGATTGGTAATTTGGATCTCAAAGAACTGCATAACTCTTCTTTGATAACTAGAATACATGAAATGAAGAGAATTTCTTAAGCTTTACAAATGCTTCAGAATAATAAACTTCCAAGTTTTTTTTGACCTTAACACGGACTAGGAATATCCATATATATTTCCCAGGAGACCAAGCTAATCCCTTGTATTTTAGGTCTAAAGTCAACCTCTTTGCAGACTGCAGGGATAAAGTGTCTGGTTTTGTTAAGGGTACTGAGATCTTAAGAAATTAAGAGATTGTTAATGCTTAGCTACAACAGCACTTGAGTTTGTCTTGTACATACCAGAGACTTGGTGATATCCCCCCTCCAATATCTTATTTACTTCAGATTTACAATTCACTCCAGAAAAGGGTGTATGAAAGGACCAAAATGACCATGGGGCTGGCTAGGCTGGTTAATGGATCTGTGTGGGCCTGGTGTGGAGAGAAGGCCTGTGCTAATGGTTAATTATAGGATCATCATGGCTGGAGGAGACCTCTAAGATCATCAAGTCCAACCCTTAACCTGTCACTGCTGTAACCCCTAAACCCTAAACCATATCCTCCAGTGTCAGATCCAGACACCTCTTAAACACCTCCAGAGATGCTGACTCCACCACCTCCCTGGGCAATATTTCAGTGCCTGAACACCCTAACAGGGAATACATTTCTCCTCACATCCAATCTGACTCTCCCCTATCTCAGCTCAAGGCCATTCCTTCTAGTCCTCTCCCTGCAGCCATGGCAGGAGAGACCATCCCCCACCTCTGAGCCATGAGGTCACCCCTGAGCCTCTTCTCAAGCCTAACTAACCCCAACTCCCTCAGCCCTTCCTCATGTGCTCTAGCCCTTTCCTGCCCTTGTTGCCCTTGGCTGGACTTGCTCCGGTGCCTCACCTTTCCTGCTTGCCCTTGGCTGGACTTGCTCCGGTGCCTCAATGGCCTTTATGCAGGGTTATGCAGGTTTGTGCCCAAACCTGAGCACAGCACTGAGGTGTGACCTCCCTGGTGCTGAGCACAGGGAGATGACCACTGCCCTAGTCCTGCTGCCACACTAGTCATCAGACAGGCCAAGATGCCCTTGGCCTTTATGGCCACCTGTGCACAATGTTGGCTCACATTGAGATGCTGTCATCTAGAGGGAATGGCCTTGAGCCGAGACAAGGGAGATTCAGAGGAGATATTAGCAACAATTTCTTCCCTGTTAGGGTGGTCAGACACTGGAATAAGCATTGGAATATTGCCCAGGGAGGTGGTGGAGTCACCATCCCTGGAAGTGTTTAAATCGCATCTGGATCTGGCACTGGAGGATATGGTTTAGGGTTTAGGGGTTACAGCAGTGACAGGTTAATGGTTGGACTTGATGATCTTAGAGGTCTCTTCCAACCTTTATGATTCTCTGATTAATCGTTAGCACAGGCCTTTTCCCCTTTCTGACCAACACCTCTCCAGCCATTCCTCCCCAGCCTGGAGCTGCATAGGGCTAGTGTGTGTAATTGTTGTATAATCTTGGTGAGTGTAGTGGTTAAACTCCTCCAGGCTGCTGCTGGAACACTGTGCTGAGGAGGTGAGAACCTTAGGGTGATTCATATATCCCTTTTGAATGTAAAAGCCACTTTTTCATGGTGGTTTCTCTGTTCTTCTGGCTGTGACAGGAGCACTTGTCCTTGGGTGAATATCCCTGTTTAATCTGGCAGCAGCACTCTTGAATCTGCTTGTTTGGTTAGCTTTCAACACAGGGATACTCTTCAGAATATGTTTATATTAAGTGCAAAGTCCTTGACTTAGTGACTGATTAAAGAGGTTGTTCACTGCCTCTTGCCCATCAACTTCTTGGTTTGGCTCAAAGGTGTGAGGTGAGGGAAGAGAGAGCTGGCAAATAGAACCTTCTTTCCTCATGTTTGCTGACCACACCAAGCTGTGTGGGGCAGGCACAGCTGGAGGGAAAGGCTGTACAATCCAGAGGGACCTTGCCAAGCTTGGGAGGTAGAACAATGCAAGCCTCATGGAGTTCAACAACATGAAGTGCAAGGTCCTACATCTGGACCTTGGCAATCATGGGTACAGCTACAGGATGGGTGGGGAAGGAATTGAGAGCAGCAATGACAAGAAAGACTTGGTGATGATGGTGGATGAGAAGCTCCCCATGAGCTGCAGTGTGAGCTCAGCCCAGAAACCAACCCAGGCCTGGGCTGAATCCACAGGAGTGTGGCAGCATCAAGGGAGGTGATTCTCCTCTTCTGCTCTGCCCTGGTGAGACCCACCTGGAATACTGCACACAGTGCTGGTGCCCTCAATGTAAGAAGGGCATGGAACTGTTGGAGCAAGTCCAGAGGAGGCCACAACATTGCCTAGAGGACTGGAGCATCTCCCCTATGAGGACAGGCTGAGGAAGTTGGGGCTGTTCAGCCTGGAGAAGAGAAGATTGTGTGGAGACCTCAGAGCAACCTGCCAGGATCTGAAGGGGCTCCAGGGAAGCTGCAGAGGGACTCTGTCTTAGGAGCTGCAGTGACAGGACAAGGAGTAATGGGTTCAAATTGAAGGTGGGGAAATTTAGGCTAGATCTTAGGTAGAAGTTTTCCCTGTGAGGGTGGTGAGACACTGGCACAGGTTGCCCAGGGAGGCTGTGGCTCCCCAACCCTGGCAGTGTTCCAAGCCAGGTTGGCTAAAGTCTTGAGCAACCTGTTCTGATGGGAGGTGTCCCTGCCCAGGGCAGGGGGTTGCGGCTAGATGGTCTCTAAGGTCTCCATTCCAGCCCCGAAAATTCTATGATTCTATGTTTTCAGCTCTTCTGGTATAGTATCAGCAATATCTGGGAAACAATGCAATATTTTTGCTTTGTAGGCTGTGTTGAGGTGTTTATTTTCTAAAGAAATGCACTTCATAGAGTAAATCCCATTATTTATCCCTTCCTCAGCTGAGCAATAAAACTATTCCTTCATACATATGAATGAATGTTAGGCGTATTCACTCATTCCTCTCCCTGAAGCCTCTGGGAATTGGACCAGTGCTTTAAAATCACGTTTTATCCTGAATTCAGAGTGCCTCTCTGTACTATGGGTTTTGTCACATATTCTATCATCATTCTCTGGTTTTTAGGCATAAGTTGTTAAGTTTTATGTTAAGTCTTTGTGATTTCTTTTTAGTTTCTCCACTTACTTTTTTTTGCTGTGTAAGTTTTTTGGATAGCTAGAAATGCCCCTGAGTGCACACAAGCTTTTACCAGAGCTGTTATTTCCCTTTTCTTTCAGCGTCCGTTGTCCCTGGGGGCTGATATTTGTATGCATTCTGCAACCAAGTACATGAATGGTGAGTGGAGGAGTTCAACACATACTTGGGGTAGGGTTAGATGGGAGATTGGGAAGGAATTCCTCCCTGTGAAGGTGCTGAGGCACTGGTACAGGTTGCCCAGAGCAGCTCCGGCTGCTCCATCCCTGGAAGTGTTCCAGGCCAGGTTGGATGAGGGTTGGAGCAACCTGGGCTGGTGGAAGGTGTCCCTGCATGTGGCAGGAGATTATGAACAGCATCTTTAAGGTCCCTTCCAACTCAGACCAGTCTGGGATTCTATACTAACACACCTAGAGGTGTTTATAACCATGTTGGCTTTAATTTGGCTACAGGAAAGGTGATTTCAGTAGAAGGAATGTAGGTAGCTGCTCTCCCTAAGACATACCCATGTGGAGAAGGTAATCTTCCCAGTTGGGTTGGCTGGTAACATCCCACAGAGATGGATTGGAATGCAGTGCTGCTTGTCGTCATGCACTCTGTGACTCAGGTTGGTGTCCACCTTGGCTGAGGGTGAGCAGCTTCCAGCACACTCCTGATGCCTGCACAGTGCCCTGCTCTCTGGCAGGCAGCAGAGGTGAGCTTGGGAAGTTCAGTGCAGGACACACTGCTGAGCAGAGCTGTAGGAAAAGCCTCAGTCTGCCTTGTGATTCCTGTGAGCACAGGAAGGAGAGTGGAGCAATGGGAATGAACCCAGTGCCTTGCAAACTAAGATGATGTTAGCACCAAGACTGAGAAACTGGGGCTTGAGGCAGAGCCCTGGAGCATGTGGAGTAGCTGATTCTGTTCTTGTCTTCTTGCATATTAGGCCACAGTGATGTTATCATGGGGCTTGTCTCTGTCAACCGTGATGATGTCTACGAGAGGCTCAAATTCCTACAGAACTGTGAGTAGTCAGTGCAGAAAACACCTTGGAATGAATCCTGTTCACACACACCAGTTCTGGGAGGCATGTGGGTGCACACAGGGGAAAATCTGCCTAGAGATGTAGCTTAAATGGGCAGAACTGGGGAAAACTCCAATAAAATTAATGACATTGGTCTGCATTTCCTAAGTAATACTAGAAAACTCATGAGGCCTCAAGGTCTGTCTCCTGTGCACATCACCTGCAGCCAGGGGGATTTAAACTCACACATCAGGACGTGCCTAATGGAGAATTTTCTTGTATGTTGTTTTCAACAATCCTGCCTTCCTGCCTTCCAGCCTTCCTTCCAGCCATCCTTCCTTCCATCCTTCCATCTTTCATTTAATTTTATATATTAATTTGCTTTACAATCAGTTGTCATGACTAAACCTCTGTGTAGAGTTCTGCCTACAGCAGAAAAAGCAAAGCTATATTATGTGTAATAAATGTCATCCTTGAGGCTTCAGCTCGTTAATTCAGCTCATTAATTGGCTTCCTAATTATTCCCAATAATGCAACAGTGTGTGAGATGAGGAAAACAGATCAGGTGTCTTCCCATTTGTCATGCTCTAACCTTAGGCATGTTGGAGACTAGGACTTTACTGCATGCAAACCCTTTGTTTTTGAGGAATTTTGCTTGGATTTCCACAGCCCTTGGAGCTGTCCCCTCTCCCTTTGACTGTTACTTGTGCAGCCGTGGGCTGAAGACCCTGCACATCCGGATGAAGCAACACTTCCACAACGGCTTGGCCGTTGCTCGTTTCCTCGAGGCACATCCCCGTGTGGAGAGGGTCATCTTCCCAGGTGGGTTGGCTGCTGGCAGCACACACAGGTGTCTGAGTGCAGTGCTGTGGGTCACCATGCACTCTGTGACTCAGCTGGGGTGGCCACCTGGGCTGAGGGTGAGCTACCTCTCTTCTGCAGTGAGGAAGGTTCACTCAGCCTCCCTGTCATAATTCCAGGCCTCCCTTCCCACCCGCAGCATGAGCTGATGAAGAAGCAATGCACAGGCTGTCCTGGCATGATCACCTTTTACATCAAAGGGAACCTCAAGCATGCTGCTGCCTTCCTCAAGAACCTCAAGGTAAATGACAGCAAACACACACACCCTGGAGGGACCTGAGTCTCAGGGTGATGATGGAAGTGGCTTTTCTTGGGGTGGGAAGAGTCTTTCTTACTACTTGCAAGTCTTTTGGGTGTAACTATGTCTAAATAACAGGTAATTTGTAAATGAGAGGGAAGCAAAGGATGCCTCAGCTCCTTGGAAGTGTTTGTTTACACAGCAGGGTGAGGTATGTGTAGGTTAGCCCAGGCACTGCTGCTAACAAAGAGCAGCCTGGTGCCAAATACCTGCAGGCTTTGGAAGCAGAGAAGCTGTGGCTGGTGTAACACTGCTGTAGTATTTCAAAATGCTCAGCAGGAGCAAAAAACATTGAGGAAGGACATGAATCATGAAGCCAAGAGGGAGTCCCTCAGCTTGGAGAATGATGGTTGGTTAGTGTACCTAAACCATAGGCTTTTGCTGCTTTGCCAGGTATTCATTCTGCCTCTGCTCTTTGATGTGTCTCTTTTAGTCTTGATCTCTGGTTAATTTGCTTCCTGCCCTTGTGTTTTGTTCTTGGTAAAACAAAGCAGTAAGAACTGGTAAAGGTGGTTTAGAACTTCCTTCTCCTCCCTGACTTACTTGCCAGCTGATGTCACCCACTGGAAATGAATTCACTGAAAACATGTTTTGCCTACAAGATATCCTTCGCCATGAGAGAGGGCACAGGAGATCTGCCAGCTTTGACAAGAAGTGTCAGGGAATATGTCCCAGGAGAAGTAGTTCCTTATAGTTATCCAAGCCCCTTATATTCACTTCAGCCCTTTGACTTGGATAACCATCAGTTTGTCACTAAGTTTGTCCACGAGTGAAGTCATTCCATAGAATCACAGAATCCCAGAACGGTTTGGGTTGGAAGGACCTTAAAGCTTATCTTGTTCCAACCCTTTTCCACTAGTCCAGGTTGCTCCAAGCCCTGTCCAGCCTGGCCTGGAACACTCCCAGGAATGAGACTGGACAACTCTGTTTTAAATCTTCATAGCTCTTACCTACTAAATGTAGACTTAATTCCCTAATTACAGCTAATACTGTTTATAACAGAAAGGTCATTATAGAAAAAAATTAGGGAAAATAACCCATAAACATTCCTTTTTCCTTAGTGTCCTTAGAGTGGTCACAGCCTGAAACCTGCCAGAGCTCAGGGAGTGTTTGGCCAATGCTCTCAGGCACATTGTGGGAGTGTTGGGGTGTCCTGGGCAGGGCAGGAGTTGGACTGATGATCCTTGTGCATCCTTCCAGCTCAGGATATTCCATGATCCTATGAACTGTCTTTCCATGCATCCATAACCTCACACTTCTGTTCCCTTTTCCTGCAGGTGTTTGCCCTGGCCGAGAGTCTGGGCGGGTACGAGAGCCTGGCAGAGCATCCGTAAGTCCTTCTTCCACCTCCAGAGGCTGGAAAAGCTGCACAGTACCACAGAATTGCAATGGGATTTGTAAAATTTGCCAGTCCCCAAAGCATTGAATGAAATTCCAGGGTGATGTGTTGTGTAGCATGAACCCAGTGGAGACTCCAGGGATGAGTGTGAATTCTGTCGATGTAGATGGAAGAATTTTGACTGGAAGACTTAAGCCACAATTGTTTGCTCTGACTACAGTCCAGAAATCCAGTGTGTGTTGGAATAAGTGTTATGGAGCAGCTCTGGCTGAGGGAAGAGCTGTGCCATGCTGCCTGCTCACACAAGAGGGCATGGTCAGTATGCTGCACCCAACTGTCCCTGCCTCCCCATCAGCACATTTTGTAGGGACTTTAGTCACACCTGACTGCTCCTCTCTAGGTTAAGAGGCTAAAAATAGAATTTTTGTGGAATTAGATGATTTCACTCAAAGCCAATTTGCTTTTTTTAAAAGATACATGGAAAGTTATGGCTATATTTAAGTGCTAAATCATTTCAGTTACTCGTTTTAGAACAACAGCAAATCTTAGACCACTGCAGAGGCTGAAAGGAAGTTGTGAATTGTTGGGTGTCAGTGACTGAAGATGTGAGCAAATACCTTCTTGCCTATATCCTCCACAGCAGGATAGAATGAACTCCTGTGTGGTGGGTGCAGTTTGACAAAGCGAAACCAGAAGTGAAAAAACTCCAGGAGGTTTTATCCAGGAAATTGTACACTGTAGCTGCTCCACAAACAGTGCAGAGCTTTTAGATACTCCTGTTAGAAAAATTCATTTAGAAACCTCTAGAAGGAAGAGAAATAAGATTTTTCTCCTTTTTCAGTTCCAGATTTTTACGTATTCTCTTCTTATTCCTCGTTTGTGGACTTTCCTGGAACTCTGGAGATAAAAGTCCCTGACTTGTCTGTTGTTCACATCACTTACTGTAACTGCTGACATGAGCTCTTGCATGTGTGGGTTCGCCAGCAAGTGGTACAGAGAAGGTGTAAAATCCTCAGGCAGTTTCAAGGACACTGTCAGGAACTACCTGGTGTGGTCTTTACCAATACAAGTACAAACTTGAGGGCAGCAATGAGGAGAAAGACTTGGGGATGATGGTGGGTGGGAAGCTCACCGTGAGCTGCAGTGTGAGCTCACAGCCCAGAAACCAACCCAGGCCTGGGCTGCATCCACAGGAGTGTGGCAGCAGGTGAGGGAGGTGATTCTCCCTCTCTGTTCTGCTCTGGTGAGACCCACCTGGAATACTGCACACAGTGCTGGTGCCCTCAGTGTAAGAAGGGCATGGAACTGTCGGAGCGAGTCCAGAGGAGGCCACAACATTGCCCAGAGGACTGGAGCATCTCCCCTATGAGGACAGGCTGAGGAAGTTGGGGCTGTTCAGCCTGGAGAAGAGAAGGTTGTGTGGAGACCTCAGAGCAACCTGCCAGGATCTGAAGGGGCTCCAGGGAAGCTGCAGAGGGACTCTGTCTTAGCAACTGCAGTGACAGAACAAGGAGTAATGGGTTCAAATTGAAGGTGGGGAAATTTAGGCTAGATCTTAGGTAGAAGTTTTCCCTGTGAGGGTGGTGAGACACTGGCACAGGTTGCCCAGGGAGGCTGGGGCTGGCCCACCCCCGGCAGGGTGCAACCTGTTCTGGTGGGAGGTGTCCCTGCCCAGGGCAGGGGGTTGGGTCTGGACGATCTCTAAGCTCCATTCCAATGCCTAAATTCCTATGATTCTCTGAAACTTCATATCAAGAAGGCTGTTCTGTCCCTCCAGAGCCATCATGACTCATGCCTCAGTGCCTAAGGAAGACAGAGAAGCTCTCGGCATCACTGACACGTTGATTCGCCTCTCTGTGGGTCTGGAGGATGAGGAGGATTTGCTGGCAGACTTGGATCAGGCTCTCAAGGCTGCAGTGAGTGGCTTGGTACCCTCCAAAAACACTTCCCCTCCTGCCTCTCTCACTGACTCCTGGTTCCATAGGAGGAGAGAATGGACTCCTCAGGGTGGTGGGAACAGCTTGACATGGGGAAACCAGGAATTAAAACCCTCAAGAGATTTTATCCAGGAGGCTGTACACTGTAGCTGCTTCTGCACACACAGTGCAGAGCTTTTAGATACTCCTGTTAGAAAAACTGCTTCTTACTCACTTAATTTTTAAGCTGCTCCTAAGCTGACCTTGCAGAGTTGTGTGTGGATTGAATGCTTTCCTTGTTGGATTTCCCTATGGAGGGAAAACCAGGTTTTCGTGTGAAAACCCTGATCAGGTTTGCAGTCCTGGACAATCACAGTTTCAAGTCACATGGATTCAGGTGCAGCAGATGGAATGGATGTCCCTGACAGAGGGATGGCACTAACCCTGCTAAACTCAGGCTGAGGGAGAGGCATAGAAGTGTGTGCTTCAAATTTTTTTGTCAGTTTGAGAGAGGGTAGAGATACATTAAGGAGCTTTATGAGCTTCTCTCAAACAGTAAGTCAAATATTTGATTCATTCCTAAGTACTTGTACCTCTCCCACAGGTTGTTCAGGCAGTGGATTAAAATTGTTCTTTATATGTCATTAATGTGATGACATACTGTGATTTGTCTGTTCATATAGTTTGAGTTGGAGGGAACTTAAAACTTAGCTCATCCCACCCCCTGCCATGAGGACACCTTCCACCAGCCCAGGTTGCTGCAAGCCCCATCCAACCTGGCCTGGAACACTCCCAGGGATGGAGCAGCCACAGCTGCTCTGGGCAACCTGTGCCAGTGCCTCAGCAGCCTCACAGGGAGGAATTCCTTCCCAATATCCACCTATCCGTGCACTCTGACAGTGGGAAGCCATTTCCTGTGTCCTGTCATTTGCACCTGCAATGTTCCCTTCTGTCACCTCTGCATCCTGGCAGGCACCTGCACCCCAGAAAGCACTAACAGAGTGAAGGTGTTTGCAATAAGGAGTTTGGCTGTGTGAGAGAACATGGAGCTTTTGGTGGGTGAGGTGTATCTTTAAGGCTTGTAGCGGATTAGTAGTCTGATGCACTGTACAGTCTGGGAATGTTTTGTCCCTATATTTTTCTCTCGGTTTTTATTTTTTTTCTGTGTGTTTTTCTTTGTCATTTTATTTTGTGTTTTTTTATGATGGTGAAAATTATCCTTAGTAATTGCACATATTTCAGCTTGCCAGCACAGAGCATGGAAAGAATCTCATGTTAAAATGTCTTGTTCAGAACATAACCATCCCTCCTTTACCTTCTCCTTGCAGTTTGCATAACCCTTGATGTTTAAGACCAGACCTTGGGATTGGACGTTGCAATGACTATGGAAGAGGACATGGAAAACCAAATTGCTGATGATTTGTCTTTGATTTGCCTTTGGGAATTTAAATCTGGATTTCTGTGGAGCCTTTGTGTTGCTGTTGGGTTTGTGCTGCTCCTGTCTGGCTGTGTGTGGGCCTGGGCTCTCCCATGGGCCCAGGTCTGCTCTCTGCCAACCCTCTGGAATCTGTTTGGTCAGTGAGCTCTTTGTGAGAGCGCTTGGGTCTACACTCAGAAATGTTATCCCTGTGCTCCCAGTGGAGATCAGTGTTCTTCCTAATGCTGCAGGGATTTAGGTCACAGGGATCGGTCCTTGATGCTGTTCTCAGCTGGTTGTCATTTCTTCTAACCCAACAGCTCAGCTGAAAAACTTGATTTGCCTTAAGTTTATTTTAATTAGATTCCAAATGTGCTTGAAAGCTTTTTCTCCTCTTGGTGTATTATGCAGTATTGAAAATGAAGCAAAATCAAATAATTGGTAAATAATTTCTAAAGAGGAGTCTTTCACTTTTTTTAAGGAAAAAAATCATGTGCTGCTACACGTGGAATGATTGGAATCTTTTTAATTAAAATATGCTTTGAATTTCCTTGATGTCTTACTTGTTTTTCCATTTGCATGTGCTACTTGTGTTCCAGATCAGGTGATGGAATGACCCTGGAGTTGTTTAGATTTTTCCATGGGAAGAAGATGTCATTGGTGTTTTAACCTTCCTGATATAAATTCAGATGTATCCTGCAAATTGCAGTGTTGAGGCAAAGAATGCTCGGGGTGCTGTGTGCTGGGCTGGGACAGGTGCCACCTCTGAGCAGGCTCAGCCCTCATTCCCCAGCTCATCCCAGTGTCTCTCTGAAGAGCCACAAAGGAGGCCCAAGGTGCTGCAGGGACTTCATAGCAGACTGACTGAACACATCTTTCTTGGGGAAAACACTTGGCTTTCCCAAACTAGATGGAAATTAGATTTTCTGGGGCATCTTTTCACTTTGTTTCTTTTTCAGATTGAGAGCTGGCATAAAATGTTCACTCATCAGCTGAGCCGAGGCTTCTTTAGTTGTGGTCTGGGACAGCCCACCCTGTGTGCAGGTGAAGCAGAAGGGCTGGGGGTGAGATGAGAGAGCTGGAGGTGAGTTGAGAGAGCTGGGGGTGAAATGAGAGTGATAGAGGTGTGCTGAGAGGGATGGAAGTGAGCTGAGTGGGCTGTGGGGGAGCTGAGTGGGCTGTGGGTGAGCTGAGTGGGCTGTGCTGTGGCTGAGAGGACTGGGAGTGAAGTGGGAAGGCAGTTATGTGTATCAACACACAAACAGAATAGCCTTCATTGTGTAGAGTGATAAAACCCTGAGAAAACGGGGGCAAAAGTATTCACCTTCCAAACCACCTCATTTCACAGAATCCCAGGACTGGGAGTGAAGTGGGAAGGCAGTTATGTGTATCAACACACAAACAGAATAGCCTTCATTGTGTAGAGTGATAAAACCCTGAGAAAACGGGGGCAAAAGTATTCACCTTCCAAACCACCTCATTTCACAGAATCCCAGAATGGTTTGGGACCTTAAAGCTCATCTTGTTCAGCCCTCTGCCATGGGCAGGGACACCTTCCAGCAGCCCAGGTTGTTCCAAGCCTCATCATACCTCACTCCCAGGGATGGAGCAGCCACAGCTTCTCTGGGCAATCTGTGCCAGTGTCTCAGCACCCTCACAGGGAGGAATTCCTTCTCAAAATCCCATCTATCCCTGCCCTCTGGCAGTGGGAAGCCACTCCCCCTTGTCCCTCCACAAGGTGGTTACTGGTTACACTAGGTCAGCATCTCAGAAAGCTCATCTATAGGAACTCCCTCAGATCCCTGTGTTTCTCTAGGAAGTGCAGCCCCTGTGCTGTGCCCTGAGCCTCTGGTTGGTCTTTGGCTGCTCCTGAGGGGCAGAATTGTCTGGTTTCTGTCACAAGAACATCTCCTATGAAACGAAAACTCGTGTGGTTCCTCATCCTCCTGCTGACATGAATAACCTTCATCCCATTGATGTGGGGAAAGAAAAGAGCAAATTGCCAACAGGGAAACTCAATTAATTGCTCCATGGTTTTCTTGACAGGTGGAATATCAGCCTGAAGCTGCTCTGGGGTTGGACCTGTCAGGAACTGGGCTCTTCACAGGGAGGTTTTAGTGTTCACATTTTATGTCACAGCCTCAAGTCTGACACAGCTCCTTGTGGATTCCTTCCAGCTCAGGATGTTCTATGGTTCTCTACATCTGAGCAGGGGATAATCCTTTGGGATCTCTAAATATCCCTGATTGTGATGACTTCCCTGGAGCCACCCCCATATTCCATCTTTCTGAAGCTAAAAGGGCACATTTCATTCTTGGATTAGATGTTGCAGATGTGGATTCACAAAGAATCAAGGGGAATTTATGTTTTAATGTTAAGATCTCTTATATTGGCTAAAGATAGATTTGTTCCTGGAAAATAATGGAACAGTACCAAGCCCAGTTAAACCAGAGGCAGTGCCTGGCTCCTGGTCCTAGCAGTGCTGGGGTCAGCTTGTTCTTTCCCAGCCTCAGATTCCCTGGATTTGAGCTTTGTTTTGGTGTTTATCACTGCAGTCACAGCTGTTTGATGAAGGGATTTGTGCTTTCCAGCCAAGACCTAAATCACATTAGTCAGAAGAGTTCTTAGAAACTTCCAGCTTTTACTTACAGGAAAGTTGCTGTCATTTAAATCCTTTTTTTGTCACCAGGAGATAAACTTCTCCATCCAGAAATCCACACATTCTTCCTGTTCCTGGAGCCACTCACCCCTTTGGCATCTTTTCCACTGCTCCTGGACACAGCATCATGAAGATGCTCCATTTCCCCCTGCTGCTGCAGGTCCATGTCTGAGCACAGCTGGGAATGACAGCTCAAATCCCACATATTGATGGATTTAGTGGGCCCAGAGTCAGTGGCTCCAGCCAAGCAGATGCCCTTTGGTACCAGCACAGCTTCCTGACCAGTACACACACATCTTCATGGAACACTAAAGTGAGTTTGAGCCCCGTAAGCGCTCCTTAATTGGTTTATCTGCTGTTGTGGGCAGTGCTGCCTTACAAATGCAATGTTTATTCCTCCTTTTATCATCTCCCTGCAGGAAATATTGATTCTCTAATGTCTTGCTAAGGAGACAGATGTTGGGAAATGGAGTCAGAGCTGCCAGAATCATAGGATCATGGAATATCCTATGGAAGGACCCATGAGGATCATCAGTCCAACCCCTATCCCTGCACAGGACACCCCAGCAATCTACCCAGTGCCGAAGAGCATTGGTCAAACACCCCTTGAGCTCTGTCAGGCTTGGGGCTGTGACCTCACCATGGCCAAACCCAGCTCTGAGGCCCCAGAGCTTCCCCTTGCAGGCACCTGCAGAGGTGAGGGATGTCCACAGACACCCCGGTCACTGCAGACTCCCCATCCACCAGCTGAGTCCTGGCATGTTGGAGCAGGGCAGGGATGGAAAAGTTTTCCTCCCCATGTTTCTAGCTGTCATGTGTAGCTCTAAACACCACTGAAAATTTAATTTCTCTCTTTCAAACCACATTTTTCACCTATTTTATAATATTCCTGCATTTTTAAACCCAAATCTCAGTCTTCAACCAGGCTGTGGGTTGGCACCTGCTGCTGAAGTGGGGCCACTGGACCAGCTGACATATACATCTCATCCTTCTGGACCTGCAGCCAGACCAGCTGCAGGGTTTGGGTAGAGAATTTTGATACTTATGGGTTGTTTTATTAATATTTCTGTGTGTGCCAGTATTTCCAAGGTGCCTGCTGGGCTCTCACTAGGGCACAAGTATTGATGTGGCTTTTACTGACTTTTAAGGCTTCAGGAGAGCAATGTGAGGCCTGTGGTGAGCAGAGCAGAATTCCAGCTCAGTAGGGAATATTTCCCAAGGGAGCATGTCACAAAGGCTCTGAGAATGAAGGAATTCTATTTAGATTATGTTCATCATTTATCTCTCCTCCTCTTTGAGGCTTCCACGAGGACAGATGAACGTAAAAGGAATTCTCTCTCTTGGCCACACGGAGAAGAGCAGAAACAGAGCAGTCCCAGCTACAAGCTGAGTTTTCTGTTCCCAGGCTTTGTGTGAAAGCAGTGCTGCTGCTTTTGGGGAGGGATTTCAGCCAAGCAGCCAGTTCTCAGCTCATTCCTGCAGTGTGTTGGGTAAGGAGATGGGAAGTTTGGATGTCAAATGTAGGAACACTATCAACATGTCAACTATTCAATATGTCACAACAAATACTTGAAGAGAAAAGTGTCCAAGAACATCAGACTAAGATGCTCCTGCTTGTGGGCAAAGCAGGAAAGGGAATGAACATGGAAGGAAGCAAAGACAGAGAACAAGTGAAAGCAAAATCATCACATAATAAAAATTCTCCTAGGTTCCAAATATTTGGCTCATTGAACTGGATTTTATCTTGGTGCTTTCCAGCTGGGATGTGGTCTCCTTGCACTCTGTATATCCCCCAGGGGCGTGTTCTGCCTGGCAGCCTGAGGTCTGGGATGACTTTTGTTGGTTCACCTCTTCCCCAGAATAACAGTAATAACAAGGGACTTCAAAAACCATCCTGTCCCACCCTCTGCCATGGGCAGGGTCACCTCCCACCAGCCCAGGTTGCTCCAAGCCTCATCCAATGGAACGCTCCCAGGGATGAAGCCACAGCTTCTCCCTTTTCATCCCAAAGATCTCTGACCATGGAGAATTGTGCTGGTGTCCTCCTTCCCAAGCAAGTTTTCATTGATTCTGTTGCCTTTTCCAAAGGTTTATTTTGGAATCACTTTGGTTCCTAACCTCAAATCTTGTGCGAAGGTTTCAGCATTGGCAGTAATTCACAGAAGCTTTAGCTGAAGTGATGCCTTTGCCAACAGCCACTGCTCTGCTTTCCCAGAACTGCTGCCTATGGCCAGCATGGATTCCTCTGAGCAGCTTCCTCTGAAACTCTTCCCAGGAGCTCCAGGCATGTCTCTGGCAGGAGTCCTTGTGTTTCCCAGAACACTGGTGCCACCAGAGTCTGGGAGTGCCCTCACACCTCCACTGGTCCTTGATAGAGCAAACCAGAAGGTGAAGGATCACAGAGCATTTGGTGGGACTCAGTTCAACCTCAGCATTGCTTGGGGAAGAGACAAATCTGGGAAAGGAGATTTTCTGCCCCAGGCTCTGGGCTGGGCTGGGGGGAAGCTCCAGGACACCTGGCAGGAGGAAGGCTCTTGTGCCTTGGTGGGGTTTGAGAGGAGCACAAGCAGGAGTGAATTAAGTCCACTTTTCAGTCTGGCTTTCCTTTGCTTCTTTCCCCTTGGAAGTAGATTTCTTTCTGACTTGCCCATTAGGCTCAGAAATTAATGAAAACTCTCCCGAGACTCCAAGAAACAAATGCCTCCATTTACAGCAAATGTTAAACTTGATTTCTTCTGTATTAAATCCATTCTTCAAACAAAAATCCTAACTAAACCACTGCAGGACTTTTAGCTGGTGCTGTGCATGTCACCTGTCTCCATCCACAGGGTCGGGACAGGTCTCCGTGTCCCTAGACATCCATGTTTGTCCAGCATGGATCTAATAATCTCATCTCAAGCTGTGCCGGGGAGATTCAGGTTGGACATCAGGAGGAACTTTTCCCTGGAAAAGGCTGTCAGGCATTGGAATGTGCTGCCCAGGGAGGTGGTGGAGTCACCATCCCTGAAAGTGTTCAAGGAAGGACTGGATGTGGCACTCAGTGCTCTGCTCTAGCTGACACGGTGATGGTGGGTCACAGGTTGGACTTGATGGTCTTGGAGGTCTTTCCCAACCTCAATGATTCTGCATTCCTAAGGCAGGGAATCCTGCACAGCTGCTGGGAGCAGAACCATCTGATCCATTCTGTGCCTGTGCTGGAAATCTGGTAATGAGCTCGGAGGGGATGTGCAGGGGGATGAGAGCTGATTCCATCAATTCCCTGCACTGCTGTAAGTGAACAGGAGCTATTTCATGGCCTGGTGAGA